TCATTAACGCACCTAGTGTATTAGTTCATAGTGTGTTATAATGGAGAAAACCTGCCCAACACATGTGCAATATACCAGAGATTGGTTGTGTTTGACGCTCATCGTAGACACATGGTGCAACAAAAACATCAGCTTTATATAAAATGTAAACAATGTTGTAGTGATGCCCATCCTTAATCGCTATTAAGACACGTGATTTAACACTACCATCAGGATAGGAATTTAAAGTCTAATATTAGAATATTTACATATCTGGAGACAATCCTGTCAGTAAATTATCATACTCAAGATTAGAAAGCGTCTTCTTAACATTTGAAATGACCTTACTGTTTTTTGTCGATCGTTTTAGAATTATTCTAAAGAACGGCATTTGAGTTGTAATTCAAGGTTTTCCACCTTCATCTTTATTATCGAGTTACAGTCAATCGGGAACATCGCCGGTATCTCTCCATTCTCTTTATGAAATTGAAGTCTCGGTCATTTCCCGATTTTGCACAAACAATTCCGGAGTACAAAAATGGCAATACGATATTTCATCTGTTTAAAAAAAAAAATCATTTCATATTAGAGGCGACAACACTGCTGATGGCACAGCTGTATCATTATTTCATTTATCAAACACAAAAAAAAAAATAATAATAAGGACATTTATTATGGACTGGAGTAATTGTGAACGCGACAAAACATAGGATGTTTTTTCCCAGACAAAACATGACATAACTAAACGTTTCACGCGTGTTGGGAGATCCCAAGGGACCGGAAATCAATAGATACGAAACAGCGGCTCTGAACAGGTGCAAAATTCAGACCAACAAACGCATGCATTATTAAAGATGGAGTATTAGTCATTACACCTTTAACAGCATAATTTATCTATTGTCCATTCCTATTTGTTGATGTAGATGCCATTACTACTCGCTCGAAATCGACACGAAACGGACAAACCCCTCCCTCTTTTTTCCTAAACATCTTTAACAAAATGCCAGTGATGGCGCAGACTAATGCATATGCACAGAACAGAGCTGGATAGGAAAAGGGACTTCCTGTATGAAACATTACGTATGAAAATGAAGGTCATGGAACCATGGCGTTCCAACTATGGCTTTCTTAATCATATGCTGTAAAAAATGAACTGTTTCGAACCTTACTACGAGCTCATGAACAGCTCGACGTCGGCGGAACTGTCCATCCACTAAGCTTGATACGGGAAGACGTATACGTTTGTGATATGATGTCATCAATTTTACTGTAGCGGAAGTAATGACAATATTTGTTGTGCTGAATCCTTTTCACTACTTTTCAACTTGACTAATAACAAAAAAGTGAAAAATCATCGAAGCTTTAATTGTCCTTGGTTTCCAAGTCAGTTCACGTAAATTAACATAGATTGTCAAATTACGTTAAATTCGAGTTTATTTTTCTTACTCTAATTCCCTTTCTCCATGTTGTAACGGGATCATTGAAGATCAATGGGTAAAGATAAATAATCGATTTTTCAGTAACAATGTCTACTGATTACTATATACAAGTCTGACACGATAAACACAAGGTCCGTGAAAAGGCCTGCTAACGTTTTGCGAGGTAAGTTACGGCCACAAACGGGTTAACCACTCAAATCTGCATTTTAAAAAAAGTCCTGGCGCTACGCTCGTTCCGGACACTGATAGTGCCGTATGATTGCAGCATCAAAACCGAGTTTAAGTGGCACAACATTAAGAAAAAACAACGTAATGTTGATCTGTAGTCATAGTGATATGAATAAGACAATTGCTACATTGGTTGACGTGAGAGTCGCGACGGCGCGTACGACGTGATCAGGAACTGGGATAGTTCATTAAACCGGAAGTAGTACAGACATTGGTGTATAACTAGGTCAGACGTCTCCCTGAATTCGGAATAGATTATTTCGTTATCTTATCACTATAAAATTACAATACACGCCTTGTTTATCAGACGAACTTTATGTTTTTGTAAACAAACAAGTAATTGAATCCAATACATTCGTGAATATCCCGGAACGGATTTTCCAATCTCCATTGCAAGGAGAGCGCATCCTAATCCAATATGCCTTGCTGAAGCCAGTACTGAGCTGTTTCTATAGCCATTTTTTTCGGTTTGGAGGAAATGTTATTGACATTTGGTTCTGTAGCATACACTGTGTTCGCGTGCTGAACACGATATGCAAACTGTTGCATGACAAATTCCATGTTTTATTTAGACAGCTGTATGCATCATACAAATTTTATGAATGAATGAATGGGAATTCAACAGAAAGAAGTATAAACTGAATCATCTTTAGAGTTTTAATGGTTATCGTTGATGGGTGATCCTTCGGGGAGATCGTTTTGATAGGTGTTTTTGTAACGTGAATAATTACTACTGTAAGTCAGGGTGACGTATCGCTACGGAGGGAACAGTACTGATATAGATGTCGCGCTGTAGATTATTCTCGGCTCTATACATTGGATTGTCACTGAGAGCATCGCGTGCTTCACGTTTCTATAGCAGAATCTTCTCGATACCTCATCACCACATACAGATGTGTAACAGCCTATTTAAGGGACCCATGGAACCATGACCAGGTCAGTTGTACCATTCCTTATATTTGTCGAAGTCATTTTCGCATTTTTAATTTTCTGCTTCTGTTTGAAATTTAAGCAGAATTTTAGCTTTTCTTTCTTTGTCTTGTAAGCATTTTTATTACCTGTTGTCGTATTTGAAAGAAACGGCAGAAACGTTCCCCGTGAACACACACCAGCTAATCATTCAACAATCGACATGTACATACACACAGGCTTTACCTTTGTACCTGTGTTTTCTTACACATTCCTGTAACATGTAAACGCACAGCGGAAGCAATGCGGTTTGTTCTTCTGACGTATAAATTGTGAGGGCTGATGAAAGGTCACGCTGAAGTTTAGTAGATAAGGGGTCGTTGAGGTGGGACTCCTGAAAGATTTCTCTAGTAAAGATAGCTTGTTATCTATGTACTATCCTATTCTTTCATTTATATAATGTACACTGTAAGGAAAACCTGATTGTTTGTTGTGACCGAAAGCATGTGACTGTGAACTTGTCAAAGGTTGGAGAAGTGTGTGTACATGCCCGTGTACCACGATAACTCGTGCCGTACTGGCCCTAGTTTGCTAACCCGTGTATGTTTCATAATCGTGCTCAAGATTCGAGGAACACGATTTTGTGGACTCGACTCCCGGGACAAAGACCTATGTTTCAAGAACAACACGCGTACAATAACGTCTGTATCTCAACCCCTTGGATCAACAGAACAATGCATCGTGTTCCCGTGCCATTGGATAATGCTACACGGGAATAAGTGCGTGAAAATTGTGTCTTGTACTTCAGCTTTGAAGACGACAGCACAGTACTAATATCCCGAAAAAATATAAGTTAGAACTCCATCGTCGGGAATCCCACAAAGGTACGTCTAAAGTGGTAAAATATGCTCAATCTATTATCAAAACTGGTCACATTTTTCGTCAAACAAATCCATCGTCATATACACTCGTCACATCAGTTGTCACGATCACACGTCACATCAGTCATTAAAAACACTCGTCACATCAGTTGTCACACACACTCGTCGCATCAGTCATTAAACACACTCGTCACATCAGTTGTCACCATCACACGTCACATCAGTCGTTAAACACACTCGTCACATCAGTCGTTAAACACACTCGTCACATCAGTCGTTAAACACACTCGTCACATCAGCCGTTAAACACACTCGTCACATCAGTCGTTAAACACACTCGTCACATCAGTTGTCACCATCACACGTCACATCAGTCGTTAATCACACTCGTCACATCAGTTGTTACCAACACACGTCACATCAGTCGTTAAACACACTCGTCACATCAGTTGTCACCATCACACGTCACATCAGTCGTTAAACACACTCGTCACATTAGTCATTAAACACACTCGTCGCATCAGTCGTTAAGCACACTCGTCACATCAGTTGTCACCATCACACGTCACATCAGTCGTTAAACACACTCGTCACATCAGTCGTTAAACACACTCGTCACATCAGCCGTTAAACACACTCGTCGCATCAGTCGTTAAGCACACTCGTCACATCAGTTGTCACACACACTCTTCACATCAGTCATTAAACACACTCGTCACATCAGTTGTCACCATCACACGTCACATCAGTCGTTAAACACACTCGTCACATCAGTTGTTACCATCACACGTCACATCAGTCGTTAAACACACTCGTCACATCAGTTGTCACCATCACACGTCACATCAGTCGTTAAACACACTCGTCATATTAGTCATTAAACACACTCGTCACATCAGTTTTCACCATCACACGTCACATCAGTTGTCACACACACTCGTCACATCAGTCATTAAACACACTCGTCACATCGGTTGTCACACACACTCGTCACATCAGTCATTAAACACACTCGTCACATCAGTTGTCACCATCACACGTCACATCAGTTGTTAAACACACTCGTCACATCAGTTGTCACCATCACACGTCACATCAGTCGTTAAACACACTCGTCACATCAGTTTTCACCATCACACGTCACATCAGTCATTAAACACACACGTCACATAAGCCGTTAAACACACTCATCACATCAGCCGTTAAACACACTCGTCACATCAGCCGTTAAACACACTCGCCACATCAGTCGTTAAACACACTCGTCACATCAGTCGTTAAGACACTCGTCACATCAGTCGTTAAACACACTCGTCACATCAGTCGTTAAAACACTCGTCACATTAGTCGTTAAACACACTCGTCACATCAGTCGTTAAAACACTCGTCACATCAGTCGTTAAACACACTCGTCACAGCAGTCGTTAAACACACTCGTCACATCACGCGACACATCAGTCGTGTTGTTTCCCTCCCTGTTATATCTCCCGTTACATATACACATTAGTCACATACATGTACACCGTGACAAATTGTACGTGCAGCTGCCATCTTGATTGTCTACATGTACAAATTGAAACCTAGGTCACAACTCTTTTCTGCAGTGTTCCTGCCAAAGAAAGGTCAGGGTCGTCTTGTGGTGTAGCGATTTTAAGTGTTGATTTGTTTAAGGTATTGTACAATGAATGTGACCACAGTAGGATGCATTCTCAGCAATACACAATGCTTTATGGTACGTAACAAAACCACACAGCAATAATCCAATTGTAAAACTCACTTCCTTCAATGCATAAGGGCAAAGGGGAGGAATTGAATTAACGCAAAGATATTTGATTTTAGAATCACTGCAGCTCTTGTCACGTGATATTACTGGGAGAGAGTATCATGCTGTAGACAGTTGTTTTATTAACGTGAGCCAATTCCCGGGTGAGGGCACATTCCGACGTTTTGTTTTTAACTGGGTGAACAAAATGTATGTTTTGTTGATTATATGTGATGTAAGTTACACTATTAAGAAGGTTTGTGTATTCCACAAGCAAGTTCCCATCAATGGGAACATTCGGTAAAGTCTACTTCCAATTCTGGAGTGAAGTTCCATCTAAATTTTCATGCATATAAACTTTTACAACGTTCAGCCTTCATAAATAAGGTTGCTTTCACTATTTCACCACATATTAGCTCATTTTAAACCTCCAACAAAATTCCCACTAAATCTGAGTTTCAACACCCAACTCAAACCTCCAACAAAATTCCCACTAAATCTTACTTTTAACACCCAACTCAAACCTCCAACAGAGTCCCCACTAAATCTTACTTTTAACACACAACTCAAACCTCCAACAAAGTCCCCACTAAATCTTACTTTTAACACCCAACTCAAACCTCCAACAAAGTCCCCACTAAATCTTACTTTTAACACCCAACTCAAACCTCCAACAAAGTCCCCACTAAATCTTACTTTTAACACCCAACTCAAACCTCCAACAAAGTCCCCACTAAATCTTCTTTTTAACACACAACTCAAACCTCCAACAAAGTCCCCACTAAATCTTACTTTTAACACCCAACTCAAACCTCCAACAAAGTCCCCACTAAATCTTACTTTTAACACACAACTCAAACCTCCAACAAAGTCCCCACTAAATCTTACTTTTAACACCCAACTCAAACCTCCAACAAAGTCCCCACTAAATCTTACTTTTAACACCCAACTCAAACCTCCAACAAAGTCCCCACTAAATCTTACTTTTAACACCCAACTCAAACCTCCAACAAAGTCCCCACTAAATCTTAGTTTCAACACCCAACTCAAACCTCCAACAAAGTCCCCACTAAAACCTCCAACAAAGTCCCCACTAAATCTTACTTTTAACACCCAACTCAAACCTCCAACAAAGTCCCCACTAAATCTTCTTTTTAACACCCAACTCAAACCTCCAACAAAGTCCCCACTAAATCTTCTTTTTAACACCCAACTCAAACCTCCAACAAAGTCCCCACTAAATCTTACTTTTAACACCCAACTCAAACCTCCAACAAAGTCCCCACTAAATCTTACTTTTAACACCCAACTCAAACCTCCAACAAAGTCCCCACTAAATCTTCTTTTTAACACCCAACTCAAACCTCCAACAAAGTCCCCACTAAATCTTACTTTTAACACCCAACTCAAACCTCCAACAAAGTCCCCACTAAATCTTACTTTTAACACCCAACTCAAACCTCCAACAAAGTCCCCACTAAATCTTACTTTCAACACCCAACTCAAACCTCCAACAAAGTCCCACTAAATCTTATTTTTAACACCCAACTCAAACCTCCAACAAAGTCCCCACTAAATCTTACTTTTAACACCCAACTCAAACCTCCAACAAAGTCCCCACTAAATCTTACTTTTAACACCCAACTCAAACCTCCAACAAAGTCCCCACTAAATCTTACTTTTAACACCCAACTCAAACCTCCAACAAAGTCCCCACTAAATCTTACTTTTAACACCCAACTCAAACCTCCAACAAAGTCCCACCCAACTCAAACCTCCAACAAAGTCTTCTTTTTTAACACCCAACTCAAACCTCCAACAAAGTCCCCACTAAATCTTACTTTTAACACCCAACTCAAACCTCCAACAAAGTCCCCACTAAATCTTACTTTTAACACCCAACTCAAACCTCCAACAAAGTCCCCACTAAATCTTACTTTTAACACCCAACTCAAACCTCCAACAAAGTCCCCACTAAATCTTCTTTTTAACACCCAACTCAAACCTCCAACAAAGTCCCCACTAAATCTTACTTTTAACACCCAACTCAAACCTCCAACAAAGTCCCCACTAAATCTTACTTTTAACACCCAACTCAAACCTCCAACAAAGTCCCCACTAAATCTTACTTTTAACACCCAACTCAAACCTCCAACAAAGTCCCCACTAAATCTTACTTTTAACACCCAACTCAAACCTCCAACAAAGTCCCCACTAAATCTTACTTTTAACACCCAACTCAAACCTCCAACAAAGTCCCCACTAAATCTTACTTTTAACACCCAACTCAAACCTCCAACAAAGTCCCCACTAAATCTTACTTTTAACACCCAACTCAAACCTCCAACAAAGTCCCCACTAAATCTTACTTTTAACACCCAACTCAAACCTCCAACAAAGTCCCCACTAAATCTTACTTTTAACACCCAACTCAAACCTCCAACAAACCTCCAAGTCCCCACTAAATCTTACTTTTAACACCCAACTCAAACCTCCAACAAAGTCCCCACTAAATCTTACTTTTAACACCCAACTCAAACCTCCAACAAAGTCCCCACTAAATCTTACTTTTAACACCCATCTCAAACCTCCAACAAAGTCCCCACTAAATCTTACTTTTAACACCCAACTCAAACCTCCAACAAAGTCCCCACTAAATCTTACTTTTAACACCCAACTCAAACCTCCAACAAAGTCCCCACTAAATCTTACTTTTAACACCCAACTCAAACCTCCAACAAAGTCCCCACTAAATCTTACTTTTAACACCCAACTCAAACCTCCAACAAAGTCCCCACTAAATCTTACTTTTAACACCCAACTCAAACCTCCAACAAAGTCCCCACTAAATCTTACTTTTAACACCCAACTCAAACCTCCAACAAAGTCCCCACTAAATCTTACTTTTAACACACAACTCAAACCTCCAACAAAGTCCCCACTAAATCTTACTTTTAACACACAACTCAAACCTTCAACAAAGTCCCCACTAAATCTTAGTTTCAACACCCAACTCAAACCTCCAACAAAGTCCCCGCTGTATCTTCCTTTTTAACATCCAACTCAAACCTCCAACAGAATATCAACTCAACCTCTCTTTTTAAACACCTCACTCAAACTCCAGTTGAATGATTCTTTCAGTACTTTATTATAAAAAATCACACTAAACCTTTTACTGTTGTAGTTAACACACCACTCAAACTTCTACTGTTGTAGCTAACACATTACTCAACCTTCTACTGTTGTAGTTAACACACCACTCAAACTTCTACTGTTGTAGCTAACACATTACTCAACCTTCTACTGTTGTAGTTAATATACCACTCAAACTTCTACTGTTGTAGTTAACACACCACTCAAACTTCTACTGTTGTAGTTAACACACCACTCAAACTTCTACTGTTGTAGCTAACACATTACTCAACCTTCTACTGTTGTAGTTAATATACCACTCAAACTTCTACTGTTGTAGTTAACACACCACTCAAACTTCTACTGTTGTAGTAAACACACCACTCAACCTTCTACTGTTGTAGTAAACGCACCACTCAAACTTCTACTGTTGTAGTTAACACACCACTCAACCTTCTACTGTTGTAGTTAACACACCACTCAACCTTCTACTGTTGTAGCTAATATACCACTCAAACTTCTACTGTTGTAGTAAACACACCACTCAAACTTCTACTGTTGTAGTAAACACACCACTCAACCTTCTACTGTTGTAGTAAACACACCACTCAAACTTCTACTGTTGTAGCTAACACATTACTCAACCTTCTACTGTTGTAGTTAACACACCACTCAAACTTCTACTGTTGTAGCTAACACACCACTCAAACTTCTACTGTTGTAGTAAACACACCACTCAACCTTCTACTGTTGTAGTAAACACACCACTCAAACTTTCACTTTTGTAGTAAACACACCACTCAACCTTCTACTGTTGTAGTTAACACACCACTCAACCTTCTACTGTTGTAGTAAACACACCACTCAAACTTCCACTGTTGTAGTAAACACACCACTCAAACTTCTACTGTTGTAGTTAACACACCACTCAACATTCTACTGTTGTAGTAAACACACCACTCAAACTTCTACTGTTGTAGTTAACACACCACTCAAACTTCTACTGTTGTAGTTAACACACCACTCAAACTTCTACTGTTGTAGTTAACACACCACTCAACATTCTACTGTTGTAGTAAACACACCACTCAAACTTCTACTGTTGTAGTTAACACACCACTCAAACTTCTACTGTTGTAGTTAACACACCACTCAAACTTCTACTGTTGTAGTAAACACACCACTCAAACTTCTACTGTTGTAGTAAACACACCACTCAAACTTCTACTGTTGTAGTAAACACACCACTCAAACTTCTACTGTTGTAGTTAACACACCACTCAAACTTCTACTGTTGTAGTTAACACACCACTCAAACTTCTACTGTTGTAGTAAACACACCACTCAAACTTCTACTGTTGTAGTAAACACACCACTCAAACTTCTACTGTTGTAGCTAACACATTACTCAACCTTCTACTGTTGTAGTTAACATACCACTCAAACTTCTACTTTTGTAGTAAACACACCACTCAAACTTCTACTGTTGTAGTAAACACACCACTCAACCTTCTACTGTTGTAGTTAACACACCACTCAAACTTCTACTGTTGTAGTAAACACATCACTCAAACTTCTACTGTTGGAGTAAACACACCACTCAACCTTCTACTGTTGTAGTAAACACACCACTCAAACTTCTACTGTTGTAGTTAACACATTACTCAACCTTCTACTGTTGTAGTTGACAAGTAAGTCAACCTTCTACTGTTGTAGTTAACACACCACTCAAACTTCTACTGTTGTAGTAAACACACCACTCAACCTTCTACTGTTGTAGTAAACACACCACTCAAACTTCTACTTTTGTAGTTAACACACCACTCAACCTTCTACTGTTGTAGTTAACACATTACTCAACCTTCTACTGTTGTAGTTAACATACCACTCAAACTTCTACTGTTGTAGTTAACACACCACTCAAACTTCTACTGTTGTAGTTAACACATTACTCAACCCTTTACTGTTGTAGTTGACACACCACTTAAACTTCTACTGTTGTAGCTAACACATTACTCAACCTTCTACTGTTGTAGTTAACATATTACTCAACCTTTTACTGTTGTAGTTAACACACCACTTAAACTTCTACTGTTGTAGCTAACACATTACTCAACCTTCTACTGTTGTAGTTAACACACCACTCAACCTTCTACTGTTGTAGCTAACACATTACTCAACCTTCTACTGTTGTAGTTAACACACCACTCAACCTTCTACTGTTGTAGCTAACACACCACTCAAACTTCTACTGTTGTAGTAAACACACCACTCAAACTTCTACTGTTGTAGTTAACACACCACTCAAACTTCTACTGTTGTAGTTAACACACCACTCAAACTTCTACTGTTGTAGCTAACACATTACTCAACCTTCTACTGTTGTAGTTAATATACCACTCAAACTTCTACTGTTGTAGTTAACACACCACTCAAACTTCTACTGTTGTAGTAAACACACCACTCAACCTTCTACTGTTGTAGTAAACGCACCACTCAAACTTCTACTGTTGTAGTTAACACACCACTCAACCTTCTACTGTTGTAGTTAACACACCACTCAACCTTCTACTGTTGTAGCTAATACACAAACTTCTACTGTTGTAGTAAACACACCACTTCTACTGTTGTAGTAAACACACCACTCAACCTTCTACTGTTGTAGTAAACACACCACTCAAACTTCTACTGTTGTAGCTAACACACCACTCAACCTTCTACTGTTGTAGTTAACACACCACTCAAACTTCTACTGTTGTAGCTAACACACCACTCAAACTTCTACTGTTGTAGTAAACACACCACTCAACCTTCTACTGTTGTAGTAAACACACCACTCAAACTTTCACTTTTGTAGTAAACACACCACTCAACCTTCTACTGTTGTAGTTAACACACCACTCAACCTTCTACTGTTATAGTAAACACACCACTCAAACTTCCACTGTTGTAGTTAACACACCACTCAAACTTCTACTGTTGTAGTTAACACACCACTCAACATTCTACTGTTGTAGTAAACACACCACTCAAACTTCTACTGTTGTAGTTAACACACCACTCAAACTTCTACTGTTGTAGTTAACACACCACTCAAACTTCTACTGTTGTAGTAAACACACCACTCAAACTTCTACTGTTGTAGTAAACACACCACTCAAACTTCTACTGTTGTAGATAACACATTACTCAACCTTCTACTGTTGTAGTTAACACACCACTCAAACTTCTAGTTAACACACCACTCAAACTTCTACTGTTGTAGTAAACACACCACTCAACCTTCTACTGTTGTAGTTAACACACCACTCAAACTTCTACTGTTGTAGTAAACACATCACTCAAACTTCTACTGTTGGAGTAAACACACCACTCAACCTTCTACTGTTGTAGTAA